TATGAGACTTTTCAGGTGTGATCGGATAACTCACGGTACAATAATCTGGAACATTACATGTAGATACATGATCCACTTTACCCTCCTCCGAACATAGTGCTTGCAACACGTATGAATCAACAACCTCAGATTGGGGAAGACAGTACCCTATTCTACCCCCTCACCCAAATGGGTAGCCCAAAGACACCACGCGAAACCACTGAGCGAAAGTACATGGAACATTGGCAATAATAATAATAACGTTCAGATTACAACAACCAAATGCCCCAAACATTAGTTATAACACGCATGAAACACATCACTCTAGTTAATGAGTGGACAAGGTGAATTGCTATGTAGGAACCCATGTATCGGATACCGGAAAAAGTCTCAATTACCGAAATGCCGTAGTCCGCTCGGTTTACATGAAAACATTTACAGTAAGACAACATGCCGAAACAAAGTAGCTCAAAAGTAATCAGCACAAAACCAACCTGGATAGAGGCTTGCCCGTATCGGCCAGACTGGAGAAGGAAACTTCGAACAGTTGATCCATCGCGCTGATCCGTTCAACAAAGTACCGGTATTTGGCCGCAAAAATGGCCGTGACAAATTGAAGTACTTGTTCAAACTGAGCCTGGCCCCGAGCAATATAGTTTAGCTGCTCTTCGACCGCGCGACGCATATGGGGTAACACCAATTCAGGATCGATGGCCTGATAGCCATGGACCAATACAATTCCCAACGGGGTCGGCTGCAGTCGCCGACCGGAAATCAGCTGAAAACACATGACAGACGCGGATTATCTGCTGCTGAAATGGGTGAATGTCTTTTATTAAGGAACACGAATTAATAATAATTAATAAACCAGGTTGTCATGGATAACTTTATACTCTTTCCCGGTATTCGAACGCCGCTGTCTACGCAGTATTGCGCGAGTCTGATGAGGGAACCGGATGAATAATCCCGGGGTTAGGCGTAGAGTTCTAGGCAGTCGCGGTGGTCCACGGAAGCAAGTAGTTTACGTCCACAGATTGTGCTGGTTGGGTCACCAAATAGGCTGACCTGACGCGCGATGTTTACCGAGGTAGGAAGCGGTTGAAAAAAGTCGACGGCGGTCAAACTAAGACCTGGCATGAGGCCATGAAATCCCTAACCAGGACGCTCGGTCACATAGGTTCCGTTGGGCTCCCTGGCTGGGGACTCCCAGATCATGGTCAACGGTGGTTAGGGCACTGAGTGATATGGCTGGGTGTCGCAAACAGTCTATATGAATTCTCCAACTTCCCTTAGACTCTGCTCTCAACACTCCATTTCTTAAATTCTGCTTTTACATCCATCTGGGTGGCCAAAGGACAGCAATCGAAACCGGCGTACGAAGGTGCATNGGTTTTACAAAGTTAAACTGAAAACATCCTTTTCCCGTGATATTATTTGTGGAAACGGTTGCCATTTTTTTATGATCTTACGGCATATCGTGACGCGGATAAGGAATAGCGACAGTTCGCTTTTTATAAGCAAAAGCACTTGTTAAGGGGATGGAAATATGAATGAAGCACACAAGAAAGGGAATTTTGCTCGTGGTTCTCCACTCTCAATCTGTATTAGGAAGTCCGGAAAAGGTCAACGTCATGGGAGAACACATCCCGAGAACTGGAGAATCAGTGACAAATATGCCTATCTGACAGTTATTTCGTCAGCCTTATGANAAATACACGCAGACACACACCAAAACAATAAGCGAACAGGATACCCTTTTTATTTAGTTCTTTTTGTGAATACTTTAATCAAATAATGAGATCACTGTTAACAGACACGTTTAATGCTTTATTTTTAGCGAATTCCTTGTGAGGAGTGCAGATTATAGTGAACCAATACCCCCCCCCCC